CCCACCCTCCATCTAAAGCTAATACTGATCCCTTCAAGAGTAAAACCAGCACCATACAAACCAGATGAGGAGGAAAGGCCAAATCAGAAAAAAATCAGCTTGTAGCACTGATGGACGCTGAGGGTGGAAGGTGGAGGGGGAGAGCTTGTAGGTAAGTTAAGCATTAATTTGTAAAGCATGTTTGTCATGCAAACTATCCAGCATTCAGAGGCTGATGATTACTGCCTTCCTAATAGCTGCATATGATTAACTTCATTTTCCTGTAGATTTACTGTGGATGGTGTCTGCGCTGTACCTGATGAAACCAGTGGACTTATTAGCTGATCTTTGAGCCATGATGCCCAATACGCAAGCAGGACAGTCTTTGCTTACATAATTAGCATGTAAAAAAAAACAAGAGGCATAAATACTGTGAGAACAATGCAGCACAGACCTCAGTCTCACTAGAAAGAAAAGCAGAAATGCAGTCCTGCACATAGTGACTCTCGACCTCTGCTTCACCTCCAGCTACATCCTGGTCTGCAGTGGTTGTAACTAGGACATAATCTGACAGGTTGCACATAAAAATTGCCACCTTATCTATGCACCTTAAAATGTTAAATGTGCTTTTCCTCATTATTCCACCCAAGGAAATAGGGAAGAGGAGCTATGGCATTCAGACTGCTCATCAGCAATGAAAACCTCTTCTCCAGCACCATCTGTGAAGGTGAAACAAGCAGACAAATGACAAGGAGACGTGGAGTTTGCCATAAGGACCTCTTTACTAAAAACCCAGCTCTAATCTCAGTCTCCCCAGCCCAGCTGTGGCACCAATCTGTGACCTCTTGCTGGGTCCCTCACCTGGAGCTTTAGTAACTCCTGGAAAGCAGATGAAAGGCTCAGCCATCCAGCTTTGCACAGTGCCTCAAGTCACAGAGTGCCAGAGGGACTCCAGAAACATTTTGTATATGCATGAGGTGTACCTCTGGCTGTGGGGAGTGGAAGGAGGGAGTAAACTGAGCCAATGCTTGGTGCACACAACTTGAAAGTTCAGTTTAGGAAGTACCCCAGTGACATTATGACTCTGGCAAGGCAGAATCTGAAACACTTTCTGCTGTTATCCTTGCCTGTAGGCCAGGCTAATGCCACTGGAATAGTCTTCAGCTAAACAGAAAAGCTGTTTAGTTAGTTTTGATTAATTTGTCTTTCTAAATGCAGGAGAGGTGGATGAGCAAGAACAAGAAATTTGGCAAAACAAGCATTTTCAGAAAAAGACAGCAGGAAGTAACGGGTCTTGGGGAGTGGGTGGAAAGGAAGGTGAGAAGAGTTATTAACTAGTGCTTATGGAAAGGACTCCAGTTTCTCCAGAAAAACAGTGGAGAAACAGGCAATGCCCTGGGAAATTATCCCTATGCATTAACATGGTATGTTTATCCCCAAAGGTTCCAAGAGATGTAAACTGAGTCAAAGCTCACAAGGTCTCCCCTAATGAATGCCCAGTGATAGTCCAAGCTGGTGCAGGACAGGGAATGGACTTTTGGTCTGACCAGCTAAGATGGCTGGTGACACTCTTCAATGTGACACTCCACTCTTGGCACAGATTTCCACATCGAATCGCAGTATCATGGAATTGTTTGGTTGGAAAGGACCTTTAAGGGTCATCCAACCCCCCTGGATTGAGCAGAGACACCTTTCACTAGACCAGGTTACCCAAACCCTAATCCAGCCTGTCCTTGAAAACTTCCAGGGATGTGGCATCCATAATTTAACTCTGGGTAACCTGTGCCAGGCACATTTCTTGTGCCAGGACGGCAACCTATTTCTCCAAAAAGTAAGAGGGACAACACTTCCCTTCACATTCTGTATCTCTCCAGATAGTAAAACTGTGCATAGGCTTTAAGGCTGTGCTACAGCACTGTTTTCTACCATATGCAAGACCACTACATATAATACATTTTAGGTTAGATGTTAGGAAGAAATTCTTTACAGAGAGGGTAATCAGGCATTGGAATGGCCTACCCAGAGAAGTGGTGGATTCACCATCCCTGGAGGTTTTTAAAAAGAGATTGGACGTGGCCCTTAGTGCCATGCTATAGTAATTGGAGTTGGATCACGGGTTGGACTTGATGATCTTCGAGGTCTTTTCCAACCCAATCTATTCTATGATTCTATGATATCACCAGGGAACACCAAACTTCTCAGGGATGGCTAAGTGATGTTACAACACAGATAAAAGTATAAAAAGAACAACAATACAGTGGTTGTACCTCCATCTGCACACTAAACTGAAAGAAACCACAATGCCCAAACACCAAAAACACTAAATGGTTCTCTCGTCCCTCTTATCACAGATATATCTACTGACTGTGGGTAGGTTTTGCTCCATATTTTATCTCCAGCAACAAGCAATGAAGTTGCAAATGGCATTACTGAGCGTACCAAAATGCCCGTGCAGTAAAGATAACACTAAAAATTGTGATATAAATCTATTTTCAGCTATCATCTGAATATTCAGGATGTCTCCTCTTATCTCTGTTATATGTTATTTTTATGCAGTGAAAGATGACAAACACCAAAAGGAAAGAGCAATCAGGAAATCACCTCCTGGGACAGACATGTATGTTCTCACAGGGCTTTTTTTTTTCTTTTACCTTATTTTTTTCTGATTAGTCAATCACTTTTTAAGCACCTTAGGGAAATGCAAGGTGAATTAGGAGAAAGAAGGTCAAGGTTATCATGGAAAACTGTAATCCCCTCTCTGTGGGAACTGGTTAATAGTTATGGCTAGACTCGAGTGTGGACCTCTGTTGGGAATCCCAGTGAAGGTCAAAGGCAGAGAGGAAATAAAGCTGCACCGAGATCTTAGGCAGTTAGAAGCAGACAGATGTTCCTAGGCTTTAATGAGCAGCCTTGGCTCCAAGCCTTTCTTGGCAGAGCTGTTTGGTTTTAGTATTTTTTCCTTGTAGTACAAGGTAAGGCTCTGGTTATCTGGCTCTGCTTAGCTAACTGCTGATGATTTTTCCATCTAAGTAATGGTATGACAATGAAGAAACAAATTAATAATCTGAGACTTGAGGGATTGGGTCGTGGGGAATGATGTGCAGCTGTAATCATGAAAAGCAAAAAAACAAACAAAAAGAATAATTTTAGTTTAAATGAGGACCAGTTTAAAAAGTTTAAACAGAGAATCTAATGGAGCTCCTACTGCAAGTTTTACCCCTCCTTTTTACACTTCTGACATCACAGGGGAAATATGAAATAGACTTTTTCTTTACTAATTCTATTTCCAAGTCACGCTACTGGGGGTCATGCCCCTTCTTTGGAAACTCATTTGAGTTCAGCAGTGTTGAGAATTTTGACACTTTTCTATGCCTAAGTAAAATACATTAAATCGGAAAGTACAGGTTTAACAAGCATTTTCTGCTCAAAAAGCAAAAAAAAAGCTACTAATCCAACTGTTACCAAACTGTGAAAACTGTGAACTTCCATTAAAAAAAATTAAGAAATAGACATGTTAAACATCTTGAAGACCTTTAATCCTCTCTGCTAGGACACAATGCAATTGTGCATTATCCATAACGAAATAGCCACTGCAGCACTTGGTGAAGAATATTTTTGTTGTTTGTCAGGCACGTAACAACTCTGATACTCAGAGACTGATATCAGTCTATTTTCCTATATTTTTAGATGTGTCATTTTTGGGTGTCTCAACTGATCTAATATAATAGGATATTATGACTGGAAATGTTTTCATGGTGTGATCTCTCATTTCAGACTGCTTTTCTCTGTTATAGTCCAGATCCTGGTCTCAGTGAAAGAAATGGAAATATCTAGGTGGCTTAAGCATGAGCAGTTGTTGGAACTCGATCAGTTACAAGTCAATAAAAAACTTTAGAGCCTTACATTGGCAGGTTATACTAATTCTCTGCTCTCTGTGTTCCCAGTTGATTCTCTTTTCGTTTTGAAGGCTATGAACTACTTTTCTTTCAAGCTCTTTTTTAGCACATCAGAATCTCATCCACCACTGATTGATTCAGCAAAGCTTGCCCTTTTCCAGAACCAAGTGTGAAATCTGCTTTGTGATAAATATCTGATGGTGCAGGAGCACTGGGCTGGCTCCCAAGCTAAATTCATTTGTATTGTAGCAAAACACCTGCCTCTGTGTCATCACAAAAGCAGCTCCCCATTGTAAAGTACAATTCAGTCTCTCAGACAAGATTCAGATTCCCTTTTTTCCCCCTCTGCAGGAGAGGAACAGATGTCCTTAGCAGCCAAAAGGAGCTTCCTCCCTCTTCATCTACCCAGCTTATATTTCCAAGTCATGAGACCTAAAACTCTTCAGAGTCAATGGTGAGGGTTTATTGTTTCCATGACACCAGTTTCTTCCCACAGCCACTTAGTGCTCACATAATTACTTTACATGACACCTGCTGACTGGATGTGACAGATTTACACTAGGATTCTACCCAGGATCTCCATGTTTTCAGTCTAGCCATCAACATGATGGGCTCCTCTGGATCAGCAGTACACCACCCCAGTCATGGGACAGCTTCACAACTTCCCACGTGTCTGGTCTGTCCTATCAACAAATGGGTTTTGATCATTTTGTAGGCCAGAGCAGAGACTGCCTTCTCTTCTCCCAAAGGCTGGACAGCATCTACCACATGGTGTCTAATGTGGTAGACATTAGACACCAATCAGAGGAATGCCTACCTTGCCAACTGCTGTTTCAGAATGCAATGGTGAGACTTTTGGAGGAAGCTGTGAGAGACAGGTGAAGGCAGGACAAACATTTATCAAACTGCTGTGTAACATCTCAAAGAGTTTTAAATTTTTTGGCTTAAGATGTGGCTAACTTCCCTGTTGACGTCCCCAAAGTTTGGATGAAGAATAGCACTCAGTTACAAAAAACCAGAGAAGTTACTGACTCATGAATATATTTGCTGTAAAGGGTGAGTTCCTCTTCATTCAGCATAGACATTTACATGCAGTAAGGTAAAACAGAATAAAGCAAAGCTTACCTGAAGAGGCTGAAGAATCATAACTACTTCTGTCCTTCTTATTTGTCCTGAAGGGCTGAATGTCCTTTTCCCTGTAAGTTCCAAACCCTTCAAAGCTTCTTCTTTTATTCCCACTTGCATCATTGTCTCGCTTCTCACTTGAGGAATTCATTTCACCAAACATGTCCAGGGACTCTGACCTTCCATTACTCTCAGTATTACCAGAGTATCTCTTTGTGCAAGAGTCAATGGGATCACTGCTCGAGTCGTTTTTATCTTTACTCTGTGACCACTGCTGGGTATCAGAAAGTGATAACGTAGACAGCGTGTCCACTTCAAAGTTACTCTTTGAGCCTTTGTGCCCGGTTTCACAATGCTGGTGCTTCTGCTTCTCCTTATGCTTGCTTTTCTCGTTGAGCAAGGAGAGGTCTTTGTCTGAGCCACTCAGCCTTTCATTCATGGCATGGCTGGAGAAGCCAGTGGACTTGCCGGCGAAGAGACCACTCAGATCTTCATGTGTCCCCAATATCCGCTCATCCTTATGCTTGTGCTTATGTTTGTGTTTCCTTTTGTGAAGCCGGCCACTTGAGAGGCTCGTCCCTCCGACCTTTGGAGGAGCTAAAGGGGACTGCATGTCTCCAAGGCCCATTCCCACAGGGGTTTGTAGGTGCACTCCGTGTTTTGCTTTGTGTTTGGCAGTGGTGGACATCTTCATATGAGAGCTTGCATGGAACTGGGGTGGGGGCACGGTAGGTCTCATAAATGGGGAAGCCGCTCCGAGCGTGTGAGACAGGTACAAAGGAGCTGGATACTGACCGTAGTAACCAAGATTCATCATAGGCATTGATGTGTAAGGCATTCCATAGGGTGCATAGTAACTCCCACTGGGAATAGGGTAACCGAACCCTTGTAAAAAAGGCACCTTTGTCATGGTGTCATTGGTTTTGGCAGGTCTACCACGCTTCTTCTTTGACTTCATGTCAGAGGTCCTGCGAAGATAGAGCAATGGGTCATACTGGATATATGGCACAGGGTAGTAGTGATCAAAATTAATCCTGAAGATGCTGGGATATGGATTTTCATGATAAAATGTATAGCTTCTATGGGAAATCCTGAACACTTGGAACTTATTGATGAGTTCCTCAAGGTCTGCCAGAAACTGGAGGTCATCTCTGTTCTGCAGGCTTTTCCTTTTCCTCTTGTGCTTTGGCTTTTTAATACTCTCATGAGAGAGAAAGTTATCCACAATGAGATGCTTCTGCCGGTGACCATGCCTGTTCTTTGTGCTGGTGTCAGATGGGATAGCCTCTGGATTGTCCAGGGTGCAGAAATCAAAGGAGTATCTCCGGCGGGATTCTGAGCTTTTCTCGGCTTGATCAGAGGTGCTGTTGTTGTCTGTACCTATCCCACTGTCGCTCGGGATGGTTTCCTCGCTGTGAGACTCGCTCACTGGCGACAGCGTGACTTCTTTCAGAGAACCTATTTCACAGAGGTGGGAAGGTGAATTAGCCATTAGCCTGGGCGGAGACAGCTTCCAAGTTCCACTGTGCATTCCTTTCTGGGTTTTTGTAGGAAGAGCACTGATAGGTTGAAGATTTGGCATAGTTTTTAACTCTGAAAAATTTGTTTCAGTGCTTGCAGGGCTAAGGTTGCCGTTAGTCCCCACTAACTGTGTTGAAAGCGGATGAATAGCTGCTGGTGACGATGCCACAAGTGACTGCAGGTTGGAAGGCACTGCTGGGTTTTCTGGCTGGCTGGAAACAGGCCTTGAGTGCTTGATGGCTGTCTTAGGTTCTTCTGGCTGAGTCTGCAGCTCTGCCCTTGGCTTTCTGCCTCGTTTTTTACCAATGTAGATAGTCCCCCTCTTGCTAACATTGATCTGCTTCCCTAGTCTGGCATCAATGGTGGTTGGCCCAGCACTAGATGGTGGCTGGACTTTTGCTTTCAGAGCTATGCTGCTGGAGCAGGAGGACAAGATCTGATTGAGAATATTCTTCCTCTTGAGGGTTTTCATTTTATTAATGGTCTTGATGGTCTTCTTATCCAAGACCCCAAGCTTCCCGACCTTTTTGTGAAACTTGAGTTCACTGATGGACTTGTCCTCTCCTGGGACCATCTGGGCCAACTTGGCCAGGTTCCTTCTCCTCTTCCTTTTCTTTGTTCCTGGAAATTCATGATTGATTGGACTCACTGGGCTGGTGGAGGTTCCCTCGTGAATGGTTTCAACAGTGAGCAAAGGCTGTTTCTTTGGTCGTCCTCTTTTTTTCTTGACAGGTGTGATCACAGTAAGACTGTCTGTATTGGTGTACAGAGGGCTGGATGGTGTGATGGGATAGGCTGAGGGAGGCTCCACCATCAGTTTCTCAGATGTTGTCATGGAGGTCTCCCGAAGGATAGATTTAGGTTTGCTGCAGGTCCATCGCCGCTTAGCTGCGTGTTTGGGGTGCTGGACTTCAGGTAATTTGCCAGCTGTGGAAAGGTCGGTGGGCAGGAGAGTGGATGTCACTGGTAGAGGTTTCCTGACTCTGGCGGCACTGTTGGGGGAAGCTTTGTCAGTGAACACACTGCTGTCAATTGATACTAAGGGGGACTCATTTTCTATCACTTTCCCTGGTTTTGTGGCTCGAAGATCTTTTTTGCTCGCCTCTGATTGAGAGCTAGTCCTGCTTGCTATCTCACTGCTCATAGTAAGTACAGAAGACAGGCTTTTCTCCTGGATAGTTTTCTCTATAGAAGATTTTATGGATTGCCTTTTTTTCCTTTTGTGGCCAGATGCATCTGTCGTCGGAGACTTTATTGGGATAGTAATTCGTACATGACTGGTGTCACTTTCACAACTGCTAGCAGAAATGGGATTCTGCTTTGAGGGTGATGTATCCAACACACTGTCCATCGAGTAAGACTCCTTTTTCCCTTCCATGCTGTCATGGGATTTGCTGTCAAATGCTTTCTGGGCACTCTTCACCCACTCCATGTCCGTGGTTTGGACGGTCTGACTTATCAAGTCCTTTTTGTTGGACTTCTTCTTCGTGCTTCCAGCGGGCTGGTCAGGGGCCTCCAGCTGCACGCCTCCCTCTGGATCCCCAAGGGGCAAAAGCCCACTGCAGTCGGAGGCGCTGCTGGGCTGGGCGGCCATGCTGATGCCGCTGGGCGACGGGACTGCACTGCAAATACCAAGCTCTTTACTACTGACTGACAGCTGCCCCCACGTGCTGCTGCTGCAGGATTTCTTGGCCTGGGATTTACTGAAGGGAACTCCTGGCTCCAGAGCAGAGACCTTGGTGGCACTAACAGCTTCCCTGCCAGGTTCTGTGTTGATGAAGCAACTCTGAGAAGCGGATCCGGTATCGGGGCTCGCTGACCAGTCAAGGTGGTGCTGGTTGCTACTTTTCTGCTGGTGCTTTGATTTTAAGGTGTCACTGGTGAAGTCTTGTTGGAGGCCCGGATCGTAGTGCAGAGCAGAATGTTTTTGTGGCCTGTCATAAACCTGGAAGGTAGCAGAAAGTAAAGAGAAAAAAAAAAAGTTTATTAGTCTATTCATAACCCCTGCTTGCAGCTCTCTATTTGTGTAGTGAATGACAACTCCTCTTAACCAGTGTCCTTGTAACATTAGGAACTTTTATAAAATGTTCTTATACTTGAGCCAAATTTGCATTTAGATTCATGCACAGTAAACAAGTCTTTTTTTTTTTTTTTTTTTTTTGGTTTCTCCATTCTAAAAGCACTGGAAGTATTTCTATAAATACAAAATTGCTAGGGAAACATTTCTATTGATTTTTAATTTGAAACATAAGTAAAATATTCCCTTTCAATGGATGAATGGTGCAACTCAACCTCCTGGCGAGAATTCCTTTTTCCTTAAAATTAATTCCTCACAGAACTGAAGGCTTAACAACAGCAATTAAGCTCATTACTGTAAACAAGAAAACCGAAAAATTATCTCAGAAGTTGTAACAAACAAGAGGAAAACCCATGGATCCACTTCCCTGTGAAGTCAGATTCTGCAAAGATTTGTTTTGAGTTTCCACATAGAAGCCATCCTCACAGACTTCGTGCGTAGCATCAAGTGTGTGAGGCACACTTGGCAGGTTCAAGATTTCCATTACTCCTTTTCCATTTTAATAATCTGCTATTTGCAATGTTGGTGAGAGATATTTTCAATATGATTTCTAATCTGACAGGAGCTCTTCAACCTGCAGAGGTTACAGCAAGGGCAGAATGAAGCTAAAAGCTCTAACAGAGCAAAAGAAAGTCCTTTTTTTTTTCTTTTTTCTTGGTGGGCCTCCTTCAGCTAAAGAAATGCTGTTTACTACAGCTGTAACTTTTTGAAAAGACCTTTAAAAGCAGAAAAATTATTATTTCTTTTTTACTTTCTTTAAATGACCTGTTTTCTCCTGTTACATTTAGGTGCTTTTATTTTGTAAAGCTCTGGGTCAAGCTGTACAACTGACTTTGTACACCTAGTACTGTACAGAACTGAGTGTACCAAGTACTCACACTGTTTTTAATGTCAAGTAAATGATGAGAGACTTAAAATAAATGCGTAGCCAAGGAAAGAATGATGAAAAAAAAAAAAAAAACACACAACAACAAAAACCTGCTAAGTGTCTCATGTTCCTGCAAACAGCCTCTTACAAGTAAGTTTCTATCAGTAGGCTTATGTTAGAGCCCTCTTCGGGGTGTATGCAGCAGAAATTTTGGGATAAGGAGGCAGAAGAGCACAAGAGGGCTTTGAGCTGGGAAAGGAGGTGCCCCTAGTTCTGAGCAACTTCAGAGAGATTTGAGAAGGTCTAAACACCCCCAAGCCCACAGTGCATCATTTAGTGACCACTAAACATACATGTTATTGACAAAACAATGTTCAGCTATCTTTCACGTGCATATAAAAATGGACATGTGGTTTTCCTGGAATAGGCAATAACGACAAAGTTGTTCTGGTCCATTGTCTGAGAAGCAATCAGGGACTCTTAAATCCTGTGGATAGTTCAGCTGTCATGCACATGGACCGGCCATGCTCAGGGAAAACAGAGATTTCCAGGAATTGTGGAGTGAGAAAACGAAAGCATGCAGCTGCGGTGGAGCTGCAGATGTCGCGGGCAAGAGACACCCAGTTTCCTCAGCCTGAGAGAAGAGCTGAAAGCATAAACAGCCCTTGGGGAATGAATCAGTTCCTCCTCCTCCTCCTCCTCCTTGCAGCGGCCTCCCATACATGAGCCCTGCAGCACACAGAGGCCACGACCCACACTGATGCCCTCCTTTGGAAAAGGGAGCCCACCCAAACCCACATCTTGAGACGAGGCCAGGGAGGGGTCGAAAGGAAACCAGCAGCCCCAGCGCTGGGGTTTTATAGCTTGTTTTTATTTTGATTATTTTAAACTGATCCCAAAGCTCCTGAGATCTGGGGCTTGTCCTGCCCCCTAGCCACTAGACTGGGTGTCCTGTCAGATGGGCACAAGGAGGTGTGTGGGACATGGTCACCCCCTGGTGAGGTCCCAGAGAGCTGGAGGTGGTTACTCTCCATCCCAGCCCCGTATAAAAAAAAAAAAAAAAATCATCTTCCTGAGGTACCATGATTTGGATTGTGGAAGAGCCCTGGAAGTTCTGGGCTGAGGGTTCTCGTGGGCCCCAGGACCCACACTGAGGCAGGGCCAGGCTGCTTCTGAACAGATCCCAGCCTGATGGCAGCAGTCAAAGCATCTCCTTACACCCACATTATTTCACAAATGCTGAGCCGTGAAACTAAATGACCTGAAAAATTTCATTTGGAAGAGAGAAAAAAAAAATAAAAATCAACAACAAACAAAACTATAAGAGAGAGGGTTACAGCAGTGAGAAAAAACGTGACATGCTGGCAACACCATGGTCCCTCCGTATCTACCACATACTCAGGGATCCACAGTTTAAAAGGAGCAATAATCTCTGATCTGTATTTTAAGGCAGTTAATAAGGGCTCAGGACAGAGAGGCCACCTATAGATCAGCGATGAATGCTGATATATGACTTGGCTCCTCCAGCCCCATTTCCTTGGCCTGCATATTATATAGTGATGATGCAACTCCCAACACATCCCTAATGATAGCCCTGTCATTACTCCAGCAGCATGGGACACCACCGCATCGATCTTAAAATTCATGAGAGAGATATGCCTGTGTCATCAAAGGTGCCAACTCTGGGGGCATTTAATCACGCGGATAAGCACTCTGATTTCAACAGGCCTTCAGAAAATGGCCAGTCTGCAGGATCAGGGGACTCCATTTCCTCAGCAGGATGTCAGAACTATATATCTGCCCAGGCACATAGCAGTCTGCTGGGCTTCCTCATGAAACTTCCTCCAGCATCACATTTACTGTTGGCTCTACCTTGCCAGAGACATCTATATCAACCAAAAATAATTCTTCTGCAGCCCAACAGCCACAGATTACTTGGCTGCAGCAGGTTGGATTTCAGTGGCTGCAATGGATTTACCTAAAAACACTACTACATCAGTCGAAGGTAATGCAGCCCTATGTATTTTATTCCTTGTGTACCCATCTAGCTTGCTGTCTGATCCCACTGGTCCTGATGTTTAGGCTTCCATTTTCCCTGCTAGGCAAGCACCATCCCAAGAAGCCAATAAGCCCCAGCTCAGCTAAGCCAAGACTCTGCTGAGAGCTGATGTCAGACTGTGCTGAGAGGGGATGTCAGAGCTGTCAGGAAGGTAAGGGCAAACGAGGCTCTCCAGAAACCTGTATCTTGGTGCCTTTCACACAAATTCATTACTTTATTTGTCAGTAAGTGTGAAATATACTCCAGCTCCATAGGTCTTGGCAAGGGACTGTTGACTTGAACAGAGTTCCTGTGGCAGCCAGCTGAGACCAGCACCAGGAATAGTGGGGGTTTTTGTCATGAAAACAGAAAGATTTACCTTTATTTACTTTTTGGTTTATGAGGCCCTACAAGTGCTTCAGACTTCAACACCTGCCTCTTCTTGTAGCTTGCCCTTTCATTAAATGGGATTTTCTTCTGCAGCCAGATATTCTACACTGGGAACCTGCTTCTTCTTCTTTTGTGGAAGTAGAAGTGTAAATCAACCTATGTAATTTTACTACATCTCCCTATACTTGGTCAACATTTCTCTTCATATGCAGTTTGGTGGAAGCATTTACTAGGTTAATGATTCTGTCTTTCCTTTAAATAAAATAAAATACACACAGAGAAGCTGACAGCTTTCTTTCTTAACTGCAAGGAAACTTGAGCAACGTGATCCAGCCCATGCTGAACCTCAGACTAGACAAAACAAAATCTGAGTCCTCTTATTAGTATTATATTATTTGAATGACAAACTCTTACAAACTCAGCCCTCAGCTTTGGCAGTGGTGGGTAGACCTATAAGCAGGACACACCCCATACACTGGTGATAGTGAGCACTGGTCAGAGAGAAGTGTTTTTACACTGTATGCTTATTCCTGCCTTGCTAGATCTCTGAAACCTTGCACCTGAACGGGTGATTACTCCCCATAACAGTTTTATTCTGGCACGCAGCCCTTGCAGCTGAGGAGATGAGACTATATCAGTCCCATGAGGAGCAGCACCCTACTCTGCAAATAGTACCCAGCAGCAGAATCCATCCCTCAGGGACTCTTTTCATTTAACTACTGGATGTCTCAGTCTGCCTCCCCATTCCCTTGACTGAGCTTCTATCTAAATCCTCATGCTGCTTCCAGTCCCAAAGCAGGAAAGTGGGAGAAGATGACAGCACCCTAATCAAGGGCCTAATAAAATATTGCTACTTCTACTACTACTAATAATATTAATAATATCAAAATAAGACAGAATGAAACTATTAATAATGATAAAATAGGCAGTAAGAGAAACTCATCACCTGGAAAAAAAAAATCTGAGTGATTAAAGGAGTGGTCCCCCCCTGCTCCAAACACACCTTTTTGAGGAGGTAACACACATAAAGCTTGTCAAGAATCTGGCTTGCAAATCAAAGTTAATACTACAACGCCCCCTCTTTAAATCACTGCAGATCCATCTGTGTAATGGCTCCTCAAGTGTAATTCCCTATTAAGAGGCTTTATCTGGAGAGATAAGCAGCTGGTTCCCATGTCACTAATTGCTGTCTGCTGTGATTTTAAAACATCTGCACCATTGTGCTCTTCATTTTCATATTCTAATCACCCTGAAACTTGAAAAAGGTACATCATTGATTGTTTCTGTGGGTTAATTAGTACACAGTCTCCTTGTAGAGACAATTTAAAGGCAGTCAGAACCTCAATCAGCAAGTTTGTTTTAAAAATTAATAACATCGGGATCGTCTGTGGGGACTGGCATCCACAGTGACACATCAGAGTGTGCTCTGGGGACATACCATCCTTTGTTATCTTCTTCACAGGCTGGAAATAAAATTGAAAAAGAAAATAAGAAAGAAGAAAGGCTTTCCTAAATGCACAATGTCACTTAAGATCAGGGTCTTGGGAAGTGCTCGCTCTTATCCCAGGGCCA